ATGGAGGAAGTGGATGTTTGTGGATGTGTTGCCAATCAAGCCAGCTGCATTGTCCTAGATGGTGTCGAGTTTTTCTTCGTGGTGTTGGAGCTGAATGTTCCATGACACTCCCCACTTAATCTAAGAAATGGGTACAGGAGTAGACTTGACTTAATAGAGGTGTACAAAATGATCAGAGGTATAGATAGAGTGGACAGCCAGAGACTTTTTCCTAGGGTGGAGTTAGCTATTATGAGGGGGCATAGTTTTAAAGTGAGTGGAGGTAGATATAGGGGAGACGTCAGAGCTAGGTTCTTTACTCGGAGAGTGGTAGGGGCGTGGAATGCATTGCCGGAGAGGGTAGTGGAGTCGGCCTCCGTAGGGGCATTTAAGCGGCAATTAGATAGGCATATGGATGACAGTATAAAGTAGGGGTGGAGGTTAGATAGACCTTGGGTTTAGGGTAAAAGTTCGGCACAACATCATGGGCCGAAGGGCCTGTACTGTGCTGTACTGTTTTATGTTTTAGACTATTCAGTCCCTCGAGCCTGCTCTGCCATCCAATAGAATCATGGCTGATTCAAAACTCCTCACGTCCACTTTCCTGCCCTTTCCCCATAACCCTTACTCATCAAAAATCTTACCAATCTCGAAATTAAATATATACAAGGACTCTGCCCCACTGCTCTTTGAAGGGAGTTCCAAAGACGCTCAACCTCTGAGAGGAGAAATCCCTCCTCATCTCAGTCTTAAATTGGTGCCCCTTTCTTCTGAGACTATGCCGTTTGTCCTAGACTTGTCCCTAAGAGGAACTCTCAACATTTGTCCTGTCAAGTCATTCAGGAATCCAGTATGAGATCACCTCTCAATCTTCTAAACTCCAGTGAGTAGAGTCTTAAACTGTTTAGACTTTGATGATAAGACAAACTTGCCCCCCCACCCCCAATATTGGGGGTCATCCTTGTGATATTTCTCTGAACTGCCTCCAATGAAATAACTTTAAACAAGCAGACCAAGACTGCTCTCAGTATTCCAGATGTGGTCCGATGAGCACCTTGTACAGTTGCAGTAACATTACTCATGTGCGCCAACTCCCTTGAACTAAGGGCCAGCATTCCATTAGCCTGTCTGCTGCACATGTGTATTGGCTTTCTGTGCACCAAGCACAAGTATCCTCAAATCCTTTGGTGTTGCAGCTTTCTGCAGTTTATTCTACATGTAAATAATACCGTTGTTTTGTCATATTTTCCAAAATGAACAGCTTCACATTTTCCCACAGTTATACTCCATTTGACAACTTTTTGTCCACTTTACCTAGCAATATCAAAGTTGCTGGAAAAGCTCGGCAGGTCTGGCAGCATCTGTGAAGGGAAAAAATCAGTTAACGTTTCGGGTCCGGTGACCCTTCCTCAGAACTGATGGTGGCTGGGAAAATGTCAATTTATATGCAGAAAATAGGGAGGGGGGTGGGGATGGGGTAGGGAGTAACCGATAGGATAGAGCCTAAAGAGAGAAAACCAGTTGGACAGACCAAGAGTTGATGATCAGGCTGGGAGGGTGAATAGTTGTTAATAGGGACTATTAGGCCCCATTAGTCTATAAGACTATTAATGGGGTCGAGAAACATACCAGCCATGATCAAATGGTAGAGCAGACTCGATGATCCAAATGGCCTAATTCTGCTATGTCTTGTGCTGAAAAAATCATAAACAGAGACAAATGCGGGAGAAATGTAGCAGGTCTGGCAGCATCAGTTGGGGGCGGGGGGGGAGGAGGGGAGGAGGGGAGAGAGAAAGAGAGCACAAGCGAGCAAGTGAACAGAGTTAATGTTTTGCAACTTCACAATTGCAGTTATCCCACTGTGTGCTGTCCCACTATCGCTTTGTTTTCCTGCCAGTCATTTCAAAAAGTCACATACCCCTCAATATTTAGATCCCAGCTCTAATTGCCTCATAACCATGCCTCCATAATGCATGTAAGATCATGTCTGTTAACCTGTATTTTCATGATTCATTCATTTTACTTGGTTCTGAATATTCCATGCATCTAAGTAAAGAAGTATTAACTTTGCCTTTTTATCATTTTTTTCCCATTTTGATCCTGTCTACTGCTACTTTCTACTTTTGTATACTCTATCTTCTCCCACCACAGCTTTCAATTCATTTAAAGTCCTCTCTAGAGCTCTAGTTATTCTATTCATCACGACACTGGTTCCGACAAAGTTCACTTGAATCACTTTCCTGACTCTCTCTCTCTTATGCACTTGGTGTACCTTTTATTGAATCCTGTATACTTCACTTATTTGCGCAAAATAATTGGAACTGTTCCCATATCTCTGGCACTCTGAAATGAAATTACCACAGGCTCTTTTTTTTTTCTCAAACTCATTCTGAATGGTTTGTCAGAATATATCTGTGGTATTCTTTGGATGATTGCAGCACAGTGTTCCCAATTGACCCTGGCACATGGATGGTTGGTATGCTGATTTGTATTTGGTTCCTTGTGTAGACTTCATTTTTCAGATTCGCTAGTGTTGCATCCAAGGTAGGAGCAGCGTTCCAGCTCCTTTTGAATGGCTCATCCAAACTGAGAATAGACATTAGAATTGTTACATAATTCAATGGTATCCTGTCAAACGTTTAGTCTAGCAGTTGAAAATCAGAATGTCATGGCTTTTGTTCAGTCATAATAAATCAGACAAGCAGACAAAATACCCCCGTCATCTACTGTAGTTTTTTGCCATATGAGAAACCAATTTTTTTTTGTCTCTTTCCCAGTCCCCAGTCTTGATATGTTCTCTTGGGGTGGGGGCGTTGTTGGTGGGAAGTGGGGTGAATGTTTCTTTGCTCCTACATCAGAAACAACACATTTGGAGGAGGTGTGCAAGCAAATTACTGCTGTACGTTTGGTTTTTTTTTCCATACTCTGATTTCACAGCTGGTGTTCAGTTCCACCAGAGGGTATGTTTGTTTTAATTGTTTTCTAGATGTAAGCAACACTGGAACTTTACAGCCTGTAAAAGTGGTAGAGATAGAAACCTTCATAAGAGTTGAGTATTTATATGTACTTTTGAGATGCTAGGGCAAACATGATTATAGGCCAAGTGCTAGAAAATGGAATTAGAATCATTAGATGGTTGTTTTTGACCGGCATAGCCACAGTGGGCCATAGGGCCTATTTCTGTGCTGTAGACCTCAATGACTCTAGTGACAACACCGTAGTTATTGTCCCGTTAACAGCCAAATGACTTGGGCCACTTCAGAGAGCATTGACTCAACTGAATAGTAGGAATTAGTAATGTAGATCAAACTTGGTAACTGTGGCGTACGTAACTGCACCAATTGCGTTCACAACAACCTGGTAACCTTTCCCTGCTGTTTTTGCTTTTGTTCTGAAATTCTGCATTAAGTACGCAGTTGTGTTTTTTTTTATTTGAATTTATGACAGAATTGGGGAATTGTTGCATTTGCAGGAGAAGGTCATTTGGCCCACAGAGTCTGCAGTAGCTGTCCAAATGAGCAGTATGATTTAATGCCATTCTCCCTCCCTCTTCTGCACCACACCTCCAACCCGCCCCACCGCCCCAAACCTTGCTTCAATTAAACATACCTCCCTACGACTTTCAGGCAGTGCATTTCAGACCCGAACAACCTACAGTGCAAAATATTTATTTCTTCCATCGCATCTGCTTTGTCGGCAAATTATTTCAAATCTATGTCCTGTCATTCCTAGAACGGTTTTTCCTGATCAACTCTGAACGGACCCCTCACAACTTTGAAAACTTCTATTAAATTACCTCTTGGTCTTTGGATAGCAGACGAAAACCTTCCCAACGGCTTCAATCAATCATCGTAACTAAACTTGCTCATTGCTGGAAACATATTCCTTAATCTCTTCTGTACTCCCGCCATTGTGTTCTCATCCTTAAATGCTCCTTAGGTCGCTAAGTATTCTGTTTTGTAGTTGTCTGCTCAGTGCAGTTCCTCATCCCTAATATGAAAAGTGCATGCACCCAAGTGGATTAGTTAAATACCTTAACACCGTCTACCTGTTTAGAGATGTTATTGTACACCCCTGGAGCAGGTACAGCTTGAACCCAGGCCTCCTAGCCCAGTGGTCGGGATACTACCACAGTGCCATAACAGCCCCTAGTGTTAGATCACATTAATCTATTTTATTCTGATCAACCTGTTCAGAGATGTAATTACAGACCTGGAGCAGGTGAGACTTGAACCCAGGTCTCTTGGACGGGGGTAGGGACACTACCTCTGCAGCACAAGAGGGCCCAGAAAATAAGTGCACTTGTTTAATCATAGTATGATATACTTACAGCCCAATTGGAACTTGAACCTGGGTCGTCCAATCCAGGGGTACGGACGCTACCACTATGCCACAAGAGAGCCCTAGAGTATTTTAACAAAGTCATTACCAGTCATCTCCGGTGCAGCTTGTTGGCAATTGCTTTCCTTAACATAACCTTAACTTTACTTTTGAGCTTTGACAGCAAATACGAACGATTGAATTTAAACCAATGTGGCTTTATGTGATGTAACATTTATTTGTAACAGATAATTCACTTCTAGTTGTGGTGACTGACCTATTACTGCTGATGCTTCACATGATAGCTTAAAGTATTATCTTTCTATTTTAACTGATCTTAGAAGGATATTCTTGAATTATCTCTGGATTTTTGCTTTTTCTATTTCATTTTGTTCTTGATGTACCTTCATACTTTATGCATATGGGTGCATGGTCATTCATGTTTTTAAGCTTGTTGGATGTGTAGGTGTACACTTTCTTAATGAAGCTATTTTGTACAGGTGTGGATATTTTTCAAATCATTCAGGTACATATTATGTGAAGATGTCATGTGCTGCCATTACACTTCAATGAAACATTAGTGACAACATTTGGAATCATTCTGGAGGCAAGTGTTCTGAGCAGATGATGAATGCTTTCTCTCGATTATGCTGGATAAGCACAACACTACTTAAACTGTTGTGTATTTTATCTCTTCCTAGATGCACAGACTCATGAGAGAGAAGATTTGTTTGTTCAAAAGTTACGACAATGCTGCGTCCTCTTCGATTTTGTCTCTGACCCCCTCAGTGACCTCAAATACAAAGAGGTGAAACGGGCAGGTTTGAATGAAATGGTGGAGTACATCACACACAACCGGGATGTCATTACAGAGGCTATTTACCCTGAGGCGGTTATTATGGTATGCCACTGTACAGATGTTTGTTTTGTATACATTGTAGAGACAGGAGATTAGTTTTTTTTTTTAGGCTGTTGTAATTGATATTTCAGTTATTAACTAATCCTCAAAGGCAGCATTCCCACGAGTTGGTTGTACTTTAAGTTTCTCACCACCACCGTGAGGCCATAATCTATCCTGACATTTTTGGTGCATTCTGAGGGAGTTCCACATTGCTAGAGAACACATTCATTCGATGGAACATTTATCCTAGTCTTGGGTAAATGTTTTAAGATTCATTGCACTTTTTCAAGAAGATCAGGGGAGCCAGTATTGGTTGTTCACCTGATATCTCAAAAGAAATTCACTTAGTACTTTTTGATTTGTTTCTGGGATTTTACTGAGTACAAATTGACTGATTGTGTCATGTTTTCTACATTTACTCATGGAATTATTGTTGTTCATCACTGGATATAAAGTTGTTTGTGATCTCCCAAGGTTCTTTTGGCTGCTCTGCAACTTGGCTAGGTGACCAATGTTAAGAATCTCTCTCTTGACATTTCTTCACAGATAAAAACTTTAGAAAGTTGAACTCCTTGTTTGCAGACCTGTGACTGGCAAGTTATCCCACAGCAAACGCAAGTGAAGGTGTAGTTGTTGCTGGGGATAAGTGAATCCTTCTCTTCCTTTTATCTTTCATGCTGTCTCTTCACTTCATCTCAAATTTCACTGTGACATATTTTGGAGAATGATTACCTTGTGATATTGTCTCTGGATTAGTAATCCAGAGATTAAGGTTCAAATCCCAACAAAACAAATGGAATTTGATTTCAACAAAAATCTGGAATTTAAAATCTAATGATGAAAATGAAACTGTAGTGTGGTTCACTCATGTCCTTTAGGGAAGGAAACTATTGCCTTTATCTGATTTGGCCTGCATGTGACTCCAGATCTACAGCAATCTGGTTGACCCCTAACTGACCTCTGAAATGGCCTAATAAGCCATTTGGTTATTATCAACTGCTGGAAAAGAGGAAAGCAGTGGAACTGAATGGACCACCTGGCATCAACTGAGGTACTCGAAATGACAATGGCAAATAGCCCTGTCGACCTTGCAAAGCTCTTCTTATGGTTTTGGGGGGGTGAGTTGGGGGGTGCGGGTGGTGGCGGCAAAATTGGGAGACCTGTCATAACAATGTGACATAGTCATCCTCACGGAATCATACCTTAGATAAAATGTCCCTGACAACACCACCACCATCCCTGGAAATGTCCTGTCCCACCAGCCGAGGTGGCGGCACAGTTATGTACATCTGAGGAAGAACTACTAAGGAATCCTCAATATCGACTGCACCTTATGGCATCAGATCAAACATGGTCAAGGAAACCACCTGCTGATTGCCATGCACCTATCTACTACTCCCCAGCTGATGAATCAGCACTTCATGTTGAACAGCATTTGAAGGAATAACTAAGAATTGCAAGAGGACTTCAATGTCCTCCACCAAGTATGACTCGGCAGCGGCACTACTGATCGAGCTGGTTGGGTCCTAAAGGACAAAACTGCGAGACTGGATCAGTGACAGGAGGTGAGGCATCCAACAAGAGGGAAAAACATACTTCACCTCATCTTCTCTGATCTGTCTGCCACAGATGCATCGGTCTGTGACAGGTCAGAGTGACCACCGCACAGTCCTCATGGAGACTAAGTCCTACCATCACATTGAGGACACATTCCATACTAAATGAGACATACTTTGAACAGATCTAGCAATTCAAGACTGGACCTCCATGAGGCACCCTAGACCATCAGCAGCAGCAGAAACATACTGCAACACAATCTGCAACCTCATGGCCTGACATGCTGTCCACTCAGCCATTACCATCAAACCAGGGTGTCAACCTTGGTTCGGTGAAGAACCAAGAAAGCATTTAATAAAGTGCCACATAAAAGATTGATCCAGGAGGTCAGATCCCAAGGGATTAGGTAGAGAATTGGCTGAACTGATAGAATGCAGAGTGTTCGGATAAATGGGTCTTTCTCTGTATGGCGAAATGTAACTAATAGTGTTACAGGCTTCAGTTCTCAGACTTCAACTATTTACAATCTATATAAATGATCTGCAAACAGTGACATAGTGTAATATAGCAAACTTGGAGGATGATACTAAAATAGGTTGGAAAGTAGGCAGTCATGAGGAAATAGTGTACAGATAGATACGGACAGGCTAGGAGAATGGGCCTGAATCTGGTAGACGGAGTTTAATGTGGTAAGTGCAAGGTAATCAATTTTGGCTGGAAAAACAAAAGGGCAAATTATTATTTAAATGGAAAGCAGATTCAAAGTGCATCAGTGCAGAGGGACCTAGATGTCCTTGTGAACGAATTGCAGAAAGTGGGTATGCAGGCGCGTCATATAATAAGAAAGGCAAAAGGAATCCTGGCATTTATTGCAAAAGGACTGGAATCAAGAGAGCAGGAAGGCATGATAGGAGCAGCACTAGCTGTATGTAAAAATGAGGTGCCAAACTGGTGACGCTACAAAACAGGACTGCTTGTTTGCCATACAGCATAAGTAACAAGTGATACAAATGGTAAAACAAGTGATGAGATGATTCCATAACCAATGGATCAGATCTAAGCTCTGCAATCATGCACATTTAGTTGTGAACAATTAAACAACCTACTGGAGGAGGAGACTCCACAAACATCCCTATCCTCAATAAATTGGGAAGCCTAGCACATCAGTCCAAAAGTTAAGGCCTGAAGCATTTGCAACAATTTGCAAGTTGTGCTGAGTGGATGATCTATCTTGGTCTCTTTCAGAGATCCGCAACAGAATATCCTAACTCCAATCTCCTCCACTTCACATGAAATCAAGAAATGGTTAGACGTGTTGGATAATGCAAAGGCTTCGGGCTCTGATGACTTGTTTGCACTGATGACTTGTGGTCCAAAATGTGATGCACCCCTAGCAAAACTTTTTCCGTAATACATACAATGCTGTTATCTGACTGATCATGGGGAAAATTGCCCAGTATGCCTTGTGCACACAATACTGGACAGATCCAACCCAGCCAGTTGTTACCCCATTGGTCTATTCTTGATCGTCATTGAAGTGATGGAAGGTGTCATCAGTGTTGTCAAGCAGTGCCAGTTTCACAATGATCTTCGCTTATTCAGATTCATTTTGGGCTCCACCAGTGCCAGTTGGCTCCTTTTAATAACCTCATTATAGCCTTGATCCAGATATAGACAAAAGATCTGAACTCCAGGTCTGAGAGTTGGCCTTCTAGAGGTTTATAAAATCATGAAGGGTAGAGGGTGAATAGCCAGTCATTTCCCCTGGGTGGGGGAGTCTCAAACTAGAGGGCATAGGTTTAAGGTGAGAGGGAAAAGATTTAGAAGAGACCTAAGGGCCAACTTTTTCATGCAGTGGGTGGTGCATGTATAGAATGAGCTGCCAGAGGAAGTGGTGGAGGCTGGTACAATAACAACATTTAAAAGGCATCTGGATGAATGTATGAATAGAAAGGGTTTGGAGGGATATTCGCCAAATGCTGGCAAATGGGACTAGATTAATTTAGGATATCTTGTCGTCGTGGAGGAGTTGGAACGAAAGGTCTGTGTCCGTACTGTATAACTCTGTAATTCCAGATGTTAGGTGAGAGTGACAGCGCTTAACATCAAGACTTCATTTGACCGCATGTGGCATCAAGGAGCGCCAGCAAAACTGGAATCGGAGGGGAAAATTCCGCTGGTTGGAGTCATATCTGGCACATAGGAAGATGGTTGTGGTTGGAGGTCTGTCATTCTCAGCTACAGATTTTCTATGGAATTATTTAACGTAGCATCCTTGGAACAATCATGTTCACCTGCTTCATCAGTGACCTTCCCTCCATTATAAGATCAGAAGTGGGGATATTCATTGTGCAATCAATGTTCAGCACCATTCGTGAGTCCTCAGATAATGAAGCAATCCATGCCCAGATACATCAGAACCTGGGCAATGTTCAGCTTCAGACTGACAGTGGCAAGTGATATTCATGCCACAAGTGCCAGGCAATGACCATCTCCAACAAGAGAGAAAAAAACCATTTTCCCCTTGACATTCAATGGCACTACCTTCACCTGAATCCTCCTGTATTTACACCCTAGGAATTATCATTGGCCAGAGCCTCAACTGGACTCACCACATAAATACAATGGCTACAAGAGCAGGTCAGAGGTTAGGAATACTGCGGTGACTAACTTATCTCCTGACTCCTAAAGCCTGTCCACCATCTACAAGTTAAGAATGTAATGGAAATTCCCCACTTGTTTGAATGAGTGCAGCTCCAACAACACTCAAGAAGCTTGATATCAGCATGCCAAAGAAGCACACTTGATTGTGGCACCACATTTACAAGCATCCATTCCCCCTCCACCAATGCTCAGCAGCAGCAGTGAGTGCTATCTACAAGATACACTGCAGTAATTCAACAGGGCTCCATTAGACAGCACCATCCAAACACATAGCCATGACCATCTTTAAGGACAAGGGCAGCAATATGTGGGAACACAACCACCTGCAAGTTCCCCTCCAAGCTATTTACCATCCTGAAGCAGAAATACACTGCTTTTCCTTGAGTGTCAGCGGGTCAAAATCCTAGAATTTAGGGAGGCGATGGCCTAGTGGATTATTGCTGGACTGTTAATTCAGAGACCTAGATAACGTTCTTGGGAACCTGGGTTCGAATCCCACCACGATAGATGGTGAAATTTGAAATCCAGAAAAATATCTGGAATTGAGAATCTAATGATGAGCGTGAATCAATTGTCAGAAAAATCCATCTGGTTCACTAATGTCCCATAGGGAAGGAAACTGCCATCCTTACCTGGTCTGGCCTACATGTGACTCCAGACCCACAGCAATGTCGTTGAATCTGAACTGCCCTCTGGACAATTAGGGTTGGGCAATAAATACTGCCTGGCCAGTGACGCCCCATTCATCCTGTCGATTTAAAAAAAAATTCGAGGGAGAT